AACAGACAAATTGGCATATTCAGCAGCATCCTGGGTTCAGATACAAGTGAAGGAAACAGGATCTTGTCCTTCCATTTCAGTAGCCTGAAATATTTCCATCTAATATTTCCATTAAGATCATGGAAGCTTCTATGCTGAGTTAGATTTGTGGCTCATTTGAGTTAGTAAATAATTTTGAGGTTCTTAAGAAGCAGATGGAAAAGAATTCAAATGGATTCTCAGCAATTCTAACAAATCAATCCACTTGTTTTTTTGGTGATTATATCTAGGTACTAGTGTAGGACCAAAGGCTAAACTTTTAATAACCCCTTTCAAAACTGTAATTAATTGCCATTACTGAATACTTGTCCCTCGTAGGAAAGATGTTATGTGTTTTTACAGTATCTGTCCAGTCCCTCCTAATTTTTTGTAACAGAAATAAATATCGCAAGTAGCAGTTTAGATTCAGTTTCATGAACATCTACCAATGCACATATGAGCTTTTTACAGTATTTCTTGATAATCATGTAGCCTCTCATCTTCTGCATACTTAAATCCCAGCAGAACTCGTGGGTATCATTTAGATCTATTGACTTTTTGAAGTTTAAATTAGCAATTTCTTAAAAAATTGTAATTTTTCTTCATTATGGAAAAATAACAGCATCTTCTTAGGGTACAGATATCACCAGCATTCTCTACAACTAAGACTGAAGAAACAAACTAAATAACCAGTGCAAGAGAAATAAGCCTCAAACCTTCCTCAAACAGGCAAGCAGAGATCTGTGATTTTGTCATTCTGTGATTTTATTTAGAATTTCAGGAATGGCTTATTTTCCTTTAGTACCCCGCCCCTTCCCAATCTCCCATAAAACACATCTTAATTTGTCCTTGGATTCTTGAATTTGGGGGAGAGATGTGTATGCAGATCTTGGGTGTTTGCTCCGAGGGAATCCACTTCAGATGTTCTGAATTTCCTTCTTTCCCCCCTCTTTATTATTGTCACTGAGGTTAGTTCTCAGAGCACAGAAGGATTTCTCTTTTGACTCAAGTAGCCTCCTGGGTGATGCAGCCTAATCACGTTGGTTTATTACTGCCTGTCCTGTTTTCCTCTTTGTTAGAGCACCTGATTCTTCTCAGTAGACTTCTGTTGCTTCTCTAATTTCTAGCAAAAGCTCAAATTCAACTCAGTCTATATAAAGAGCCTAATACAGTCATTGTGGAGCTCATATGGATGCTTCATAGTTATCTCTGTTCCAAAACATATTTTAATACTGAGAAAAAGCTTTATATCAGATTCTTTCCTATCTTGTTTCTATATTATCACAAAGAATATTTGAGGTTAAAAAAAGAGATCACATAATAGAAAGATTCTATGTCGGTGAGTCACTTAGATTAAAGAAAGCTAACTGTGTTGCTCAAAGTATTGTTTTTCTACCTAATGCACTATGTGCATATTGGATTTGTCTCTGTGAAACTCCTCTTACATAACTTTCTGGGAAATATTGGCTGGAAAAATGCATTTTCAAGGAGCATCTCAGACAGTAGATTAGAAAATCTGTTCAGGTTTTATAAATCAAGAAAATTTAGAATTGTAGTGACAAAAATGTTTGTTTTATTAAGAAATACAAAGTTCTAACCCTTTGTTAGGCTGTGGTAGATTATAAATGTCAGTTATTCCTAGGTCTTAGTGTATTCTTCCTTGATGTACTGTATTTTTGTTCAAGAAGAAGATTCAGCAGGCAGTCTGTATTTTAAGCCCTTAAAAAGTAATTTCCAACTGTGCTTTCCAAGCTTAATAGGGTGTGATAGAAGGGAAGCAATACCAACATCCTATGGGAGAGTTAAGGATTTGCCTTTATGTTCATGAACCTATAAAAAGAGGTAGAGTTATCAGAGGGATGAGAGAGGTAGAGGAATGATTTTAGGACTAAAGCTCCCTCCCTCCTCTGATTTCCTCCCTGGCTCTGCTGAGCAGAAGTGACTGGAGCAGTGGGCTGCATGTTATGCTGCTCCATGCGAAGGCAATGCCTTGGTGGCTGCTCCAGCCCTGGCATGTGGCGTTACAAAATATTTAGATTCTAATTTGTTTAAGGCACAAGTCTTCCCAAAGCTAACAAAATGTTATGTATGTGCTTTTAAAATCTGTTAAGGGAGAGATGTCACATATAAATACTATACTTACTAAATCTGTTAGGGTTAATATAGTTTTACTCTAGAGCTTGAAGGTTAAAGTATACGGAAAGCTGACAAGTTTCAAACTGGGCCCCAGTCCCCAGAGTCTGTGCCAACTGAGGAATGAGCCATCGTGTAGCTCAGTTCCTGACCAGAAGACACAAGTACCTTCCAGCCTGTGTCCTGCTCACCTCTGATCATGACCACAATGTTATTGACTGACTGTGCCTGGCAAGAAATAGAATAATGATCTCACAAGTGCCTGAAGCAAATCCTACATTTGCTAATCCCTGGTTTAAAAACTGGTAGTATCTTTGCTGTATTTCACTCGACAAGGTTTCTTTACTAACCAAAATCGGTTTCTTTACTAACTACTAACAGGTTGGAATGTGTGAGTTCCTCTGCAATATTTTAAATAACCTGGATCCTAAATGCACAGGCATTCTGGCAATGATCTGTCTGCCCTTGTGTCAACTGCCCTTCTGCTCGGTTTAATAATGCTGTCCATGACAGCAACATCACTCTCGAGAGTACACAAGTGTAGAGATTTCTAATATTATGCTGTCTGCTTGGACAATAAAAACTATCAGAAGGCACATACCCTGCCTGTGTTGCAGCTTCTGCTCTCACACAGGAATGGCAGGAAAGCACTTGCAGATGTTTGGGCCATAGACCTACTGTCCTTATGGATACTGCTTTTCTTTTGAAAAGTGTGTAATATGATTGTTAGAGCTTCCCTACTGGTCAGAATAGCAACTAAGAGCATCCATAGTCGGATGTCTAGCCACTGTTTTGAATTCCTGCTGAAATGCATTGTCCCAAGGCATTTTGTTAGGATTGCAGGAAATTTGGAACAAAGCTGCAGATTTTAGCAGTTTAGCAGGAGGTGGCTGGCAGTCTGAGGCACAGATGGAGGTTTCTGGAGAAGCCAAAGCAGCATGGTCTTTCTGTTCTTTTCTTAAAACCATCAGAAGGATTAGATTTTTAGCACTTGAAGTGACTTATTTTAGATTTTGAGATAAAACACAGCAGGGAGAAACAGTCCCTTTTTTAGTTCTCTTCCTCAGATTTTTCTGTGGATTTAGGATATCAGAACTGTATTATAATTTTATTTTGTTTAAGCAGCCTGGGATTGCAGAATATGATTTTATACCATAAGTGAACTCCACAACAGTTCTTGTATTTGTGGGATGTATAAATCTTTGGTAATATTTGCACCTTTTTTAACCTCATGTTGCCAGGAAACTTCTTGAGAGTTTACTGTGGCAGTAGACTTAATCTGTGGATAGTTCTCTGCTCTTTTTTTTTTTTTTTTGTGTGCAGCTGAAAGGAAGGTGTCAGAAAAGCAGTCTTCACATTCGAGACACTTGCTCGTTGGAACTAGTGGGAGTTTAATATTAGTTTTAATGGGTTCATATGCAAGGCCACCTGTAGAGATGCAGCTTAGTCACAGCAAAAATACAGGGAAGCGATGGATAAGTGTGGGTGCTGTAGCCCCTGGCTAAGCACACCTGCATACAGGGCTTCATTAATGGCCTGTGCAGTGTGCTGTGTGCTGTCCTGCTGCTCCACCATCCTTTGACTCCTCTAATCCATTTTTAAACAAATGCATGCAGACAAAAGCATTTGCAGGCCTTTTCTTAGTAGGCTCAAACCCGTTTAACATACTGTACTGTTAAGAGAGATAATTTCCTTTATGCCTTTCTAAGCTTTGCAATGGTTTTCATGTGCAGGTACAGGGATGTTCTCTACATAGCTGTGAAATGACTCACTTGGAATTCTGTGTTCAATTGTGAACATGTGATTACTAAAATTAATCTGAAAATTAGATTAGTTTATTGTGGGTAAACAAAAATAAAAGGCTACCAAAGTGAAAGGTTATTTGGCAAAGATTTGACAGTTTGGTGAATTTAGCTCAAATTTTTAAATCTATGGCTTAATAAACTTTCTGGGAAGACGTAAAAGGAAGATAACTTTATTAGGAAGTCATAGAGGGCTGGTTATAAATGGAAATAGTGGAACATCACCTTATGAAAGGAGTATCTGATACTGGGTGAAATGCCTTGGCCATTATTTTATTGGTTTTATTTGTTTCTTTCAAAAGAAGCAGTGGACAACCAGCTTGATTGAGCAAAGTGCTGAAAAATATGTAAATGAGAGTAGTCCTGCATTGTCTTGCAGATAAGCAGTAACGTGAGGGTCTGGGCTACCTTGACATGGGGAATTGAGTTATTTTAAATCCAGAAAGATCAAAAAGGAGAAAAAAAAAAGCCACTGAGAAAAGTTAAGTTTGAATAGATTTTATTGCTGCAGTCGCCAGTCCAACCCAGTAATCTGTAGCTGCTGATGGTGGTTTCCACGATGGTAATAAATTTTGTGGTGATTCTGTGATTAGAAAAGAAAAAAATATATATTCTTTTCTTCTCTTGCCATTCTTCTGTGTTTGATTCCAAATGTGTAGAAGTGCAATTTAAATATTTGAAGTATAGTTTAAATTTTTTAACATATAATGCATCTTTAATTTCAGATCTTAGAGCAAATTATGCTTATTCAAGTATCTGTTTAGAGAAGTTTAATGATCTAGTTAATGCTTTGCACCTCTTCAGCAATCTCTGGGTCTAGAGAATTGCACTGAAGTAAATTCAGTGTATTCAATATCCAGGTTTTCTTGAGTAATAACCCTTTGATTTTCAGTTTTTCTGGTATAAGACATTACTTTGATGTACTCCATTGTCAAGTGTTGTATATAAAAATGTCCCTTGGAACTGACTGTAACTTTGAAATGTTTTAACATGCTTAAAACCTTCCATTATCCTGTGTCATGCTTATCAGTGTTTTTGCTTTTATAGATTATCTTTCTCAAGGGATAGATCTGTCTGGAATAGAAGTAATTGAAAATGACCTGCTTTTTATTGCAAGAGCTCGGCTTGAGGTGGAAAACCAGGCTAAAAGGTTGCTTGAGCAAGGTGTGGAGACTCAGGTAAAATACACTTCCTTCTTTACTTCCTTTCAAAAGTGAGGTTGAGCTTGATTTCCTTTGCTTTGTGTAGCACTGTCTAGTGGAAATTAAACATGAAAAAAAAATTATGTGAGTAATTCTTATACATGACAATAGTCAAAGAAATTGACAAAACTGATCTTGGACAGCATTTACAGGAAAAAAATTTTGCAGGATCTGACCCTGAAATCTGGGAGAAAGTAGGTGCTGATATGAAGGTTTTAACTGTAAACACTGTCACAAAGGCTTGATGCATTAAACACCGTATACTGCACTGCCAAAATTGCCAAGCTTTATAGAGAAATATGAAAAATGCAGTTTCTTAAAACTGTAAGAAGATTTCTACATTTTAGCTGTGCAGAAGTATATTGAAAAGATTTGAAAGATTTTGCATTAAAACTTTTAAGAACATTTTAAACTTTGAGGTAAATATTCACTGTAGGGAATATAAAAATTAATATGCATAATTACATTCATCCATATTACATGTAATTATCTACATTTTAATAACCTGGCTACATTTATATACTACTATTATATTTATATACTACTATTTGTAGTATCATAATTGCTATTTTCTTGTCTTTTTAAAATGTAATGTTCTTTTGTCTATACTTCTTAGAATTCTTTAAAAATGAAGGTATTTTACATCCCCATTTCTAGTAAGAAGAAAAATGTGGTACAAGTTTCTATCAAATTTGGATTTTAAATCAGAGAACAAAGAGGCTTAGAATAAGACTGCTCTGTAAGTCAATGTAGCATTTGTTTATACTGTTGAAGGTTGACATGAAAATAGAATGTATACAGAATGGAAAACCTCTCCAATAAATTGACTTGGTTAGACAATTGAGGATTAAAATGATCAGTATGTTTCAAACTTTTTCTTAGACCTCTCATTTCAAGTAATTTTCTGCAGTGAAGTCATAGCTGTGGTAAATACCCTTAACTATTTACTGATAGTGAAGTGGTAGATAAAAACACCGTCATTTTTCACCTGATTACAATTCCAGTGTTGAAACTCCTGGCTATTTGAGAATGTTACCAAGCTGTGATTGGACTTGTTGCAAGCTATGAAACACGTAAGATGTTAAATAAAGATTGACCAAAGATATGGCCTTAGAAAAAGCAAGTGGACACTTATTTTAAATGTAGCAAAAGTCTTCATCAGTGTGTACTCCTTCTAGTTTTTCCTGTCAGATTTGACCTTCTCTAATACTTTTCTCTTCATATTAAATACTGAAGTGGAACTGACAAAGAAACCCTGGGGAAATCAATCCCACTCCACCTGAAAAATTGACAGATTTATTAGGTGTTCCAGGCTGTATCCAGGTAATCAAGAGATTATTAAAGTATATGCCTGTTGTGCTTTAGCCAGGGGCCTGTTTCCAACAAATGGAAGATTGTCTGGAAGAAAATTATTAGTGCTTAGTCATATCAGGAGTGGGGATGTTTTCATGAAGAGGTATTGGGTTATGCTTCACAGATTTGTTGTTGGATATGATTCATGAATTTAATGTTGGGAAAAATAGTGTGCTTTAGAAAATGCACATTCAGGCATTGCCCAAGAAATCTAGACTTTGAAATAGGACTAGTAGATCATGTGTCTTTGATTCCTAATATTGTAGCTGTGTGTTTTATTGACAAGCTGATTTACATTTAAACCTTCCATGCCCTGAGATTTCCTGTAAGAGGACATGGCATCTTTGTCTTTTTCCTGCCTTCAGTGCTACAGAATTCTGCAGAGGGACTGTCTTCCTGCTAGCGTCTGTTCTGGTAGCTAAGTCTGTACCTTTGGGAAAAGTGCATCTCTTTTTTTTTCCAAGTGGTTCTTCACTTTTTTGATATTCATATCTGCAATTGCAATTTTAGTTTTCACCTTTGTTTTGATCTGCTGTGTAAATAATACATGAGATCAGTTGCCTACATAAGAGCAATTTGTATTTCTGTTGTTCATCTAGCACTTTTCAGCAATGCCTTAAGTAGGGAGTTAGCCTTATGTCTCCATTTCAGAGTATGTCAGTGTTCACCTGGAAGAGACGTGGGAAGTAGAAATACATAAAAAACCTATAAATATCTCCTTTTAAGCAGAAGGCATTACAGTTTGGTGAATGTCTTCTCTAGAATTCAGGGTTTTTTTCAGAGATGCTGCTAGAAGTTACTCTGACAAAAAGAACAGAACTAAAAACTTTAAACTGCCCTTTTCAACATTTTTATTTATCTCCTTTGGTTAGGTTAGAAACTATTTTGTTATTTTGGTTATTAATTTAATGATGTATAAGCTAATGAACTGTATATAGATTTCCCCAAATAACCTTCACGAGTAGCACAGGAAAGCAGATACTTACACCTAAGTAATACATTGTCTTTTTCTCTACAGTGTAATACAAGGTTTTGTAGCATGTCCACCACTGTGATATTTGTGTATTTCTCAGAAGAAATGAAATCTCTTTCCCCCTTCCTTTGGAAGTGTGGCATAAGCCATTGACTGCTTCAGAAGTGAAGGCTTCAACTCATGTTCCCCATGATATCTTAGAGCTGCCATCTGGGTTTAAACCAAAAGTGTCTGTCAGTGTGTCTAGACTTAACAGGCTTTCATAGAGCTGCCAACCATACTTGTCTTCCTAACCCTTTCAGAAAGAGTAATCTCTCTTTGCTATTGTTGACAAAAGCATTACAAATAATAACAAGCGCGATCACAGAGGGGTACCAGTGGCTACGGGCAGGTTTTTTATTGTCATATATGCCTTGTTAGCTACTCCTAGTGTACATAGCACAGATTGATGATTTTTTTGGTGACTCACAGAACAGTTTCAAGGAAATAGATTCAAACCCCTGTCCTTATTGTTTAGTCCTGACCTCCTTGCTAACTTTCCTTCACGCTGTAAGCAGGTTAATGGCAGATAGCATAGAAAGCAGGAGAGACTCCTTTAGCAGAGATGCACTAAGAACTTTAAAAAAGTCACCCTTCTAGGAGAAGGGACAGCAATGTTTTCTGCTTGAAAAGGAAAAAAAAAAAAAAAGAGGTATCCATCTTGGAACCACCTGAAGCATCCCCAGCATTTCTTTTGCTCCCAGGATGAACCATAGGCTGCGGAATCTGGATTTGCTCTTGGCAGCACTTCACCCCTATTTTCAACAGCAACATTGTGTAAAGCAGATATGAATAATAAGAGATTATGGGGAACAAGAGAAATTTGTTAAGATCACCATAGCTCAGTTCCAGGTAGAACTGCTTTTCCAGACACAGTGTTGGGGCTACTGTGCTTACAAAGAAGAAACATTTCTCTGCAACTTAGCTCATGCTTCAAACTCTTGCTGCTATATATTGACATGCTTAATGTGGGCCTTACAGCCAGGGATGACCAGACTTGGTTCCATCTGGTAATGACAGCATTGGTAGCATTAAGAGCCAGGCCATGTGTGTGCAGAAAAGAGCTGGAAAAGAGGACTGTGTATCACTAAAGATTGATTAAAATATAAATATCCATTTAGGTCAAGCAAGATGTGGTGTGGAAATGAGAGTAGAACTCAGATTTCCGTGGGTTTGCACCTTCAACAGTTTGTCCTTCTGTGTGTTACAGAAACATTCTGTGTCTTTGATCATAAAGAGTAAAACTTTTCTTTGTCTCCTGAAGGGATTTGTAGATGTAAGACTACTTTTTTTTTGAGGTTTTGGATAAAAACTACGTGATGTTTGTTGTCCAATTTCCCTTATTTAAGGTGTGGGAAAATTTATTTGCCTGCCTAGCATGGATCTGGAGAGAATTAAATTCACTGATAATTCATTGAAATTGTTCTGATGATCATGTAGTGAAGTGTCCTGATCATGTTAGAGAAAGAAAAAAATAAACTTAATAATTGTCCTTTGTCCAAATGAAGGTTAAATAGTGTCTGCAGGTTTTTTTTAAATACATAGATTTATTTTTTCCAAAATGATGAGCTTTGCTCACAGAAAAAAGAAGAGGGGAAAAAAATCCAACAGAAATAAATCTAAACTCTAATTCTGAAAGATATTCAAATGCTGGATTTGTATGCACAGAATAAATAGGTAAACAATATGATCTGAACAAAAACTTTTCAGTTATTCAGTGTAACATCTTCATACTGTTGTAATTTTGAGCATATTTGGGAATATTTTGAGTTTTCATATTGTAACTCACCAAGTAGAATTTGTTTTGTGAATTGTTGTTTTGAATTCTTTTTCATATTGCACTGTTCCTGTAAGTTGTTGTCTGTGGTACAAGTACAGCTTTTTTTTTAACATCAAAAAATTATTAACTAGATGTATACGCATAATTGTTCTTGACTAATGCTCTTCAGTGCCTGAGAAAAGTGATGGGTGGATGAAGTGTCTGCATAATTAACCAGTTGTCTGGAGGTGATTATCCAGAAGTTACTCAATTTATCTCAGTTCAGGTCCCCTACGCTGGGTGTTTGTACAGTACATCTTACAGGGTTATGGAAAAATTGGTGAAATTAATCTGAGGTCTTTCATAGCCCAGCATTTAATCTCTTGTCAAGGATCTCTAATAGGTCTCTTCCTTATCCCCAAGGGATTGGAGGGTAAAGTATGCACATAATTGACCAGTTTTCCGGACACAATCATCAAGTTGCATATTTTATTTCATTTCAGGGCCCTCTGAGCTGAGTGCTTATGTAGCACAACTTGCAGTGTTATGGCAAGACTGGTGAAATTAATCTTAAATGTGTTCAATCTAATGCCAAGGATCTTAAGCAATACATGCTCTTTATTATCCTGTGGCAGCATTTTCCAGTTGTACAAATACACTTGGAGGTGTTTGAGGTATTTAGATATTAGGAATGGCTGGCACTGGGCTCCATTTTTCACTTTTTCAGTGAAACATGAAAAATATGATAATGTTGCACTTTTGAATTGCATGCTGTTATTACTGTCAGAGGTGTGGATGGCTCTTGGAGCGTGACTGTCTTGGCAGGGTCCTGTGATCTTGAGTTTCTCGGTT